ATGCCAAGGTTATTATTTTTACACGTAGAGCTATATAGATAAATTTGCTGAATTCCTTCGGTGTATTCTTTCTTGCTTTCTGATAAATTTTGTATTTTAAAACCTGTATAGTCTTGCTTATATTTTTGGCTAAAAAACAGAGATGAAGCGGGGGGGGGCAGAAAAACCAAGGCAGTGCCACAGATCACAGTGCGTTATTGCGTTATAATGCACGCGCATTAACCAATCAAATATTATAATAATGAATAATGTACGCTTCATGACCATGGCCAGCAATTTTGATAATTTCTCCTGTTTGACGTTCTTAAAATCCTTTGGATGAACTTAAATATATATAGAAATGTTTGCCATAGGTCTTGAATCTAACATAGTATTAAATTTACGAATCTAATCAAACAAATAAATATTCAGATTTAAGCTGATATGTAATGCTACCCGTTTGTCTCTAAAATACAAAATGTACACAACAAACATAATAAAATTTCTATTGCCGAGCTCAAAAACTTTGATATATAGCCCCCCTTGTTTTTAACACGGACTTTAAACACATTCTTTGACTAACATATATCGTTCCAGTCATTAAGTCCGACATGATGGGATTTAAAAATATTCCTAAAACCAAAATTAAATCATACAACAAAGAAAAACATACAGTTGCTCTCTGAACAACAGTTGTGTGTTGTTTAAAATACATTTTTTGTTTGTTACTTACATGTATAGCAAGAAGATACAGTTCTTTCTTTCCTCTGAAATGGCCAAAATAAACTAAGTTCCTCCTCTCTCTAGTCGAACTAATCTTTTAATATATGTTCGATATCTGTCGGTAAGGTCATACTCGAAACACTTCAAGCGTTACTGGCGCTCAATCAATAATCAAAGGAGCAACCAGCTCTTGGATGTCACATAGAGATTGCAAGAAACATCTTTTGTGTGTCGTAAGTAATTATTTTATCCATGTTCACATTTGGCCGTGTTTTGTTACAATTTAAGTTTAAAAAATCAAGGTTAATTTAAATCTTTTGAAACTGCACTATCAGACTAACTCAGCATATATGCTACATGAGTAAAACGTATACCATATGCATTCACTTTCCCGCTTATCTTATTGCTTAACAAACGTGAACAATATGAACTTGCATGCTATATAATCAAACCAATCACGATCAAGGTTTTAATTAAGATACTTGTACACAATTTTTTCTCTATGTTTTTATACATTCATTTTTTATACCCAACTGTTATATTATACATATATATAGTTTAGCAAAGAGTCCATTGTCATCAAAGGTTCCCTAAAATGTAGTTTTACGATCATTATAGGCAAATTATGCTATAGTGTTTTATTTATATATGCGGAGTAGTGAAATAGTCGCACTCGATCCAAGCAAGAGAAAAATATAACCAACAAACAAACAAACAAACAAACAAACAAACAAACAAACAAACAAACAAACAAACAAACAAACAAACAAACAAACAAACAAACAAACAAACAAACAAACAAACAAACAAACAAACAAACAAACAAACAAACAAACAAGAAAGTGGAAAAAAGACGATGTTTCTCACTGTCCATAGCGTGCGCTAAAAATTGATGTGGCCAAATCTTTTAGATGCTTGAGAAGTACGAACTATTGAAAAATCAAAAGTAGATATATTAGAAAATGTACATTTAAAATAGCATTTGCATGTTCTCAATCTTAGGGCTATGCGCCCAGCTGTCCGGACTACTCGTGCACCTAACTGGGACGAAATAATTCTACGTCGAAAAAACAAACAAACATATACTCTTCAAAATATTTACTTTTTATAAATAGTATACAATAATAGACCTTTCCCCTTTTGAGTGAAATTTTGATCTATAGACAGGTCTGGACAAAAATTTCATCACAGCTTGAAAGAGCATCACAAATTGTAGTAATATTCCGAAGTTTCGTTGCGAAATGTTGTAAAATGCGGATAATATAGCTTGCGAAGTTTGCCGCTTTTCAGTCATTTTGTATTAAAAATGGGAAATTGATAATCAGTTTGATCATCTGATTATCAATTTCCCGTTTGTAATGCAAAATGACTGAAAAAACGAAACTTCGGAATATTTCTAATTTTGTGATGCTCTTTCAAGCTGTGATGAAATTTTCGTCCAGGCATATCTAGATCAAAATTTCACTCATAAGGGGAAAGGTCTATTGAACGGCAGTTGTATCACGAAATTGTGTTTATTTGTTTATTTTTCATTAGCCATATTATATGTTTCGACTAGCCAAATAGGTAAATCGAACATGTTGGCACACTTGGCTCAAATACAAGCTATAGCAGCCTAGATCAGCGTGGCACTCATTTAGCTGCGCTGGTTCGTTTTCCTAATGATTGCTCAGCGACTGTTTACTTAAGTTGTTTAAAGCATGGGACTGGTAACGAAATGACGTGATCTTGTCTAGTTGAAATTTTATCACGTCAGCACAAAATTTCATTTGGTTCGTAATGCAATAACTTTTTTTTTCTTCAGTCAATATTTCTGAAATTTTGTATTTTAGAAGTATACTAGTCATTTATTGCAATATACTCGATTTTTTAAAAATTCTATAAAACAGTTTCTGTGGAGCAAAATAATATCTTAAAAACTGAATTTATAATCCACCCTAATTTTTTTATATAATCCTCCACTAGATATTCCCTTTACACCTACAAAATTTCAGAAACTTTTAGTTCATTCTTAGTCCAAAATTTGATCTTTATCTGCTGCCGCTTGGGCCACATTGTTACCATAGCAATACACAATTTGCTTCTTCCGAACGATTATGCATGCTTGAAGTATAAAGATTACGCAAGCGTTTCCACTTCCAAAAAATCCTCATTCACATAAATAGCAAATATCATAGATTGATGTCGCGTTAGGATTACAGGGTTCCAATCAATAAACAACGAGATATTCAACCAATCTTTTTTGTGAGTAATTTTAGTACTTGCATAATAAGTGCAATATATGACACCTTCCACTAGTCGTACCAAAATTTCCTTACCACCAAAGACACTGGAGATTACAATTCATTCCACTAAATAGCGGTTCAAATGTAAGGTCAACTGCAATAAGGGACGTGCACTGGGAGGTCATCTGAATCCTCATAAAACAGCAGGTATGCACTCATATGACTTGGCACAAACTGAAACTTTTAAAACATTAAAAAAAACTACTTCAAAGCAACATTTACACTCAAAATTCCCATGTAAAAACGATTTTACGTCGCGACGCTGTAAACAAAAAGCTGGCACATGATAAATACACATTTTGTTAGTCAGCCATGTTGGATGAATCGAATCTGTCATCCAACATGGCGCCCAAAAACAAAATGCACTTGTACTTATACTTATATACTGTGATATACAAGTCACCATTCTTCTTAAAACTTGATATGAAAATATAAAACTGTTTGGTTACATATTTCTTCATAGGTTTCAGCGTAAAATATTGCGTTGAAGAGGATTCTGTAAATGTATTAAACTAATTCTGTGTTAGTCACATGCATGACCGATTAGAATTTTGTAATTTTAATTAGTTATGCACCGATATCCATATCGGTATTCAAAATATGGGTATCGGATTTTTGTTGCCAGAGATTATCGATATTGTATTGTAACAAATGCCCGAATGTATCGATATAAATTCGACATCGATCTTTGAAGATGTTATCAATGTATACATGTATGGCAACTGTTAATGCATGCATGATTGGCCACTCTCAACTCATACAGTAGTTATAGTAAGTCCGATTGTTATTTTTGAATTTCGACGTAAAATAGAATATCAGTTATCCGTATCGGCCAATATTGGCCCTTGAATATCGGTTATTGCCTTATCGGAATATCAGTGGATCACAAATTTTAAAACACCACTCAGTCTCAGTATGCTTTAATTTAGGGTCGGTCAGGGAGTTTTGGGTTTACAGGCTCTAATGGTATTTAATTCGAGTATACTGTATATTTACTTCAATATTATTACTAATTTTTGGAATTAGGTATAGAATCTTCTGGCAGTTTTAGATATTTTGTGACATATTTTGACCGTATGAATAGGTTTTTATCCTTATTTATCAGGTATTTAGGATCATGGGCGTACCGGGCGGGAGGGCGGAGGGGGCGGCAGCCCCCACCCCCGTTTGTGGGCAAACAAAGCCAGTCGGGCAATATTCGCTTCACAGTCGGGTAATATTGGCTTATTATAAAAATAAATGGGACAAATTCTGTCAATTTTGTGGGAAATTCTGTCAATTTTGTGGGAAATATGCTATCTATAATAGGCATTTTTTGTAATCATTCCTCCCCTCCCCCGTCGACAACAATTTTGGAAAGTGTCTCCGGAAAATTTTTTTGACAACTCGGGCACAATCCGAAAAAGTCGGGCAAATTTCTTTCCGCCCCCCTAATTTTTTCCTTCCCGTACGCCCATGTTTAGGATACCACGAATCCCCCAGGCTGACGCCCTAAATTTTCTTGTGTTATATCCGCACCTACAAATTTAATCAAATTAAGGTCACTTGACCTCGTAGTATCATCCTCGTAACCGCTGAAACGCACCTGGCCACCGCGCTGAACTTGTCATCTGTATAATATCCGATCGTGATTTGTGACGTCGTGCTTTGTTTCACAGTTGGACTGTTGGGAAATGTAACTTCAAGTCAAAGCAAATCAAGATTTTTTTTAAATAAACATGCACCAATCGCTAACATTGTACGCGACCAATTTTATAAACAATTCAGCAAGTTCGTGCATGTATGTTATCCAACGTAAAAAGTTTCTCAGGCAAGACCACCAAAAAAATTGAAAACAAAATACATCTAATAAATCAACGTTTTCCATTTAGAGCTACAACAAAATTTAACTATAATATAAAGTCATTTCAGATTGTTGAATAATTATATACCGATTTTCTTATCAAAACGCTGAGTACATTATATATTTAATCAATCAAATATCGTTCGTAAGTCCTATACTCCATTCTTCGCCTAGCGGCCATGACAGCATGGTTGTGGACAAGCTCTAATACAGGTGTGTGCGCAGACTGGCGGGCATGGTGGTGGTGGTCCAGGTGGTGCTGGTTGTCCTGGGGGTCCTGGAGGTCCGAGTGGACCCAACATACCTGGATCACCTGGTGGACCTTGATGTCCTGCTGGTCCGGGAGGACCTGGTGGACCGTCTCTTCCTCCTGGACCGGCTGGTGCACCTGCTTGACCTGGTGGGCCTGCAGGTCCGCCTGGACCTGGATTACCAAGAGGACCTTTTGGACCATCTGGTCCCATTGGACCTGGAAGACCCATTGGACCGTCAAGACCTGGAGGTCCAGGTGGTGGTGGTGGAAGAACTGGTGGTGGTGGAAGTGGTGGTGGAGGTGGTGGTGGTGCTGGGTGACAACAGGTGTGTGAACATGCTGGAGCACATGTGCCTGCGCATCCACCGCCACATGGGTTGGCTTCTCGTTTGTATACTGAAAAAAATAGAGATATAACAGTATGTTTTAAGGAGCAGATAAACTGGTTAAAGTGAAGTGTATGTTGCAAAGTGATTTATTAAAAGTGTACCAAATTATTTTCCGTGCGGGATAGCGTTATCTATGCACGATGTTGCGAGACTTTCGGAAAGCCTTACTGAAAGTTGAGCAACATCCCAAGTGCATGGATGACGCTATCCTGCACGGAAAACTATTTGGTAATTGTTAAAATAACGACAGTGAAACAACGGTCAACTTTATGAAAACGTTAACTTTATTTAAACGTTATTTGAACGGTTTACGTTTTTTAAATTTATTATAACTTTATTAACGTTTTTGTTAATTTGTCTCTCGTTTAATATATTGTTAACTTCACACGTTAAAATGTATTCATTGGTCGACATTTTGATTAAAAGCCCGCGCAAAGGCAGTTAAATTTTCCGTGGAGGATTGTCTGACCGATCCTGAACGGTTATTGACCAATCAAATTGCGTGTTTCGCTCTAGTTATTATATAAATATATTTTCTACGCAAACTATAAAATATCAGTCTGTCAAGAAAATAATATTAGGAAAGTAAGAAATTTCGTTTTGACAATGGTGTTCACCCAGATGTCGAATATTTGGAGGACCGCAACATGCTGCTCCTATAATCCAATTATTTTTCCCACATTAATGAATTTGTAATATTATTGTATAGTATAATATTATCTTTAAGCACTGTTCAGTTTCTTCAGAACTATTAGTTAACTAAATTGCAACGAACTGGCGCAGTTCAATAAGACAAGTTCATATAATAGTAACGACTGTAAAATTGCACTGTTTATAAAAACAAATCAGCGCCTTTTGTCTGAAGGTAGACGGCCCATTGTGTTGGGTACTGGTACTTTAAGTTGTACATAATTTATTGCATTGTTATATCCTACTCCGTTGCAAGCAACTGATTTTATAGTTTCTAGATATTAACAGGATTATATTTAGGATGCATTTATGTGACACGTATAAACGATCAAAAGAACTTAGTCTATATGCTCCTTTTTTATTCTAATTTTTTTAAACAAATGTATATATAGGTATTACTGTTATAACTTACTCCGTTGCAAGCAGCTGATTTTCTAGGGTTTTTTCAAGGATCGATGTCTTATTTAGAATGCATTTGTGCTATACATATATGAAGCAATTTGCATGCATAGTTTCTTATTGTAATCTGAGAGAATCACGATAGATGATTTTAGCTATTTAACCTATTTACAAAACAAAGACGATCAATAAACGTTTATGTTCCTTTTTCATACACATGAACACTATCATCAACTTTTGATTCTAAATTTTTTAACGGGTTTTATGTCTCCGTGAAGAATGGTTTAGGTCTAGTACAACCCCCATTTTCTTCTTTATATTATCTCAATGATGAAGATAAATTTACTACCAAGAGCCTTATATGAATTAGCACAACCTCTATTTATATGTAACTTGCTTTCAACGTCTATATAAATTTGCTATATCTCACAAATATATTATTAAAGGAAATATATGTACTCACGATGTGCGCTTCTGGCTGCGGCGTAGGAAACTACGACCAACAAACACGCCGTAAATAATTTGAGATCCATCTATATGAAAATAGAAAAGAAGATGAATATTCATACTCGTATAGAAATTTTGTCCATCCTAACACAATCGTAAAATATCAAATAGAAGACTGAAAATTGTTAAAATGAAAAAAATTATTGGCCTAAAACGATTTATGATTCCCTTTATGTTGTTCAATTTACTGGAAAAATTGGCACTCTTCTCTCGGTAATAGCTTTATTTCTGTTGACTATATTACTTTCCAAGCAGCCATACGTTGAAATGCAGCTATACTGACTTTACAACTATTTTTTAATCAATGGCAATGAAATCTACCACTATAATTTATGTTCCAACAATTGCTAAAGACTTTTAATGAGTGTTGTTCTATTCCAGCTGTTTTTATTTCCATTACCTTTAATTAAAATACATAAATGATATTATCTTCTTCAAGTAAAAAAATAGCGATCCTTACCTTGGCACACAACGACAGAATGTAAATCAAATAACAAAAGCGCAAGTGAATTGAATAAGCAAACGATGTATTTATTATTAAAATGCGCGGTTTGCAAAAACTGAGACATAGCGCAGCTAACAAGGGTATTATTGTTTTTATTTCACGGCTCACGAGTCAAGAATATAAAACCAAAAAGTTCCACTGGTCCTTTCTAGCTAGCTATACAAAGAACCAACAATAAAGACTTGTCAGTTTTTAGGAGCACAAAGAGATTGTTGTCACTTTGAACAAAGAAAATAATTATTTTCATATAAACTAAAATTGTTAAACAAAAGTTGAAATGAATGGATATGATCTAATTTTGTCGTATACATTAAATAAGGCGAAAATGAGAATAAAAAAAAAATTCAATCCTATACAGACGATAACTGCTTTCAATTTTGAACTTTTACCAATTTCTACAACAATTTCTTTTATAATTGACCATTGATAACTTGTGAAAGTAAAAATATGCAGTAAGGACATTAATTAAAATAAAACGACAGTTGAAAATCTTTGAGTCATGGGATAATTATATTTTGGGCCAAAATCTTATACAGAGGATAGCTGCTTTCAATTTTGAACTTTTACTAATTTCTACAACAATTTCTTTTATAATTGACTATTGATAACTTGTGATTAATAACATTCCACAAGAAACAAAAAAACGACTTAAACATATAGAACAATCTGAAGAGCCCCGAATGAATTAAGGAAAAATAAATCGTATATTTACAGTTCCATGTAATGTTGTTAGTAAGGACATTGAAATAAAAGGAGAGTTGAAACTGTTTGAGTCATGGGACAATAATATTTTGGGCTAAAATTAAAGTCCCTGAAAAATTGCTCACAATTTAATTTTGTCATGATATTTTTTGTGTGTGTTTTGATGTTATGTACTCAGGTGAATATAATGTTTTTTTATGTTACTCTATATCCACACCGGGCAGGCTGAAAAGTTAGCCTGACCGCGGTGGGAATCGAACCCGCGACCTTTAGGATACTAGTCCAATGCTCTGCCAACTGAGCTACGAGGCCAAGTCTGTTCGAGTGTCTAGTACCTTCGATACCAATGTGTTCACGTCATTTGGAAAAGGATTTAATACTGCTCTATGTCACAAAATCGATAATTAGGCCTATATTCGTTGCGTTTAAGCCATTTCTAACAGTTAATTATATTAAATAATCAAATTAACCTATAACCTATATGAATATGCATGACCTGTTCTTTGTTCCTGTAGTCCATAAGCTTAGCTCCTTTCCTATTCTTGCTTCACACCTCTCCCCATGCATTCCCCCATGCGATTCGGCTACACATGCTTGCTCATAAGTATATATATATATATATATATATATATATATATATATATATATATATATATATATATATATATATATATATATATATATATATGGAGTGAAATTTGTCATTTCTTTTTGCTACACATCCGCAAAAAAAGCTTGTGAAGAAAACTAATAATTAATAACACTTTAATTTGTAACGTAGGCTACTATACACACGAGTAAATCGGTCTTTCAAGAAATCTATATCAAAAAATTTGTATACCTATACGTGGACGTTTTAGTCTCATTGTTTAATTGAAGGCCATCCTTACCGATTATAACAACGCAAAATGTTTATAGTCAATGGGTTAGTCGAATTAGTGTAGGCTATATGCATGTACTATAAAAGTATGAATTGTAAAGCAGGTAAACCCGAGAAAATATCGAGGAAATATTAATTGTTACAAACTTAAGGAAATTTAAACATTAGGAATTTCATCGTTTTCTTTTCATCTTTTGAGTTATGATTAATTATGGAATTCACAGACTGCATCTGATCTTTCGTATAATTATTATTTGAGCTTTCTATTATACAAAGCATTATATATTATATTAGAAATGCAAGCGTGCAGCAATCCTAAACGACTATATAATTAACGTTCCCAAACATTGTTTTAAGTTTATCAATTTCCAGCCGACAATAGGCAATTCCAGCTATAGACTAAATTTTGATCTAGGCAAGAACAAAATCCATCACCTGATCACCACAGCTATAGAAAGAGCATGTTAAAATTATTAGTAAATTGCGGAAAATATAGCCATGCGAAATTTGCAAATTTTGTATTAATTTGTATTACGGGCGGGAATTATGCAATACATTTGGGCCGAAAGTGGTGCATTTTCACGTGCGTAATACAAATTAATACAAAATTTGCAAATTTCGTAGGGCTATACTTTCCTCATTTTACAACATTTCGCAACCAAACGTTGTAGGAATTTTACTAATTGTAACATGCTCTTTCCAGCTGTGATGATGGATTTTGTTCTTCTTGCCTAGACCATAATTAATATATATGACATGGTTTGGAAGCCCTTTGTTTTAGGTGATTGTGTACCTTGTGCAGGGTCACGGTTGAAAAATCCTTTGTCTTTCTATTGTTTGACAATATAATAGTCAGTTCAGAAAGCTTGGCGAAGGGAATGGGTACCAAGTATTTGTTTTGCCTACCAGGGCTATATCTTACGGCATATATATTTTGCAAATAACGAAGTATTACCACCATTTTGCGATAGAGAATGTTTGTATTACATCGTTTGGTCAATTCTCATTGATTAAAACCAACATATGCAGGGTCAAACTGACTGTTCAACCTCCATGTTTGTTTATAGCGTAATTTCTTTGAAGTTTGCCGGGTTCCCTAACCAGGTCTTATAACAACCATGCCTAGACCAAAATTTAGTCTATAGCTGCAATCGGCCATTAATCAGCATGCTGTACTTGAAGATTCAAAGTAGAGAATGAAGATATCTGCGTCACTGTTTTTTAATATCTTTTTAAAATCGCGCTGATTCTATTTATAACAGCGGATGCCGCATATATATATATATTAGATGTGTGCGCTAGTCCTCTATATACTAGCAATCGTTAATGAACTTTCCTCTCCTCTCAGCTTTCCTTTATCCGGCTGCGCGAAATTGGTACTCCATTTTTGACGACACGCAGATTAACATTTACGCGGTTTGCTACCTTTTCCGCAGGCCTTTCAAAAAAATAAAATTGGTAGGAGACGGAACGGAAAAGCCTGCGGACTAATTTTCCAAAATGGCGGGAGCCACAAACCAAATTATATTTAATATATCATTTTACCAGAACAATATTATTATTAAAGTCTTTATAACTACTTCTGATATAGACCGCTTTTCCTATCCGCAAAATATACATAAAAACATTCTCGAACACTGAACAAACAAACAAGCATATATAATGATTTATAAAGAGAAGCAGATAAATATCAGTTTATAATTTGCATATTACAAACACGCAGCGCTTTTATAAAACCCATCGTATGTCAGGCATGCGGCCGCTTATCCACAAAATTGATTCCATTTATATTTGCCTTTTATACAGTGTAACTATTTAAATGCGTGTGTATATAGTCAAAACATCCCATTTGGCCAAATGATAGATTCACAACGTCTATTATCCCTGTCGCTTGTGCTTGTAAAACCCCTCATTATTTGAATCTCCTCGTCGCTTTTATCAGCCATAACTGCCAAGATGTATTTAGAAAATACTCGCAAAACGGGATTGCTAAAGATTGGCAGACGATGTGCCATATTTTTGAAGAAATTTGATCCAACCGAGTAATCGACACTATAAGCCAAGTAATCGGCATGTTATCCAGCAGGCCTTACAGCTACGCAAGCCTTCGGACCTTCGTCTCAAATTTCAATCTGCGAACGGGCATACTCATTACGGGCTGTATGGTCTGCGGAGGAGGTAGCATGGTTTGCACGTTTGAGGTCAGTTTTTCATGGTTTAAGCTGTCAGCGACAGTGTATAAACCTATATGTGAACAATTGTCTTTCAAAGATTGATAATGCCAATATCATAACAGAAACTCTTAAAATTAAACTGGCTTTAAAACTAAATAGATCACAAGCGATATTGAATAATGAAGCCGACGTAATATATGAGTTATTTACCGGCTGCGAGGTCCGTACTGAAAAAAACGTTTTTATTACGGACGACCGAAACGGTAAATAACGTGTTTATTTTTTTATTTATGGTTCATGGTTATAATGAAATTCCGATAAAATTCCAGTTGCTAAGTACATTTGAGATCAGTTGCGGAGTGAGTTGCCTTTGTTACTTTATTGAAAGTATGGTTGACAAACTGCTAAAACGACGCGATAAAGGCTGGATGAAAAGCTTTTAGTTTCATTGCAATAGATTATTTTCTATACTCAACAAGACAATACATGCAGAAGGTAAACTAAGTAAAATTATTTATTTTCCTGATCGTTTTACAGCATGAACCAAGGGATAAATGAAAATAAAGATAGCAGAAGAATTAAGGACAGAGATGTATCGACAGTAAAACACATTTAATGATCAACTAATACACTTGGTACACTAATATTTTAAACCCCGCAGTAACTACTTTTTCACCATAAGCAAACACAAAAAAATGCACAAGTAAATTATATATTTATATCCAGAAAATTGAATGACAATCTTTGTTTATAAAATTAACATCAAGTTCATTCGTTCGTTTGTCAATATATAGGATTTTTTTATTCAAAACAAGTTATAGTCTGGGAGTTCATTTATTCATAATCATCTAACGTTTATAGTCGCTTCCTATTTGCGTCCATGGCAACACCATCCTGGGCAAGAGCTAACACAAGTGTGTGCGCAGACTGGTGGGCATGGTGGAGGAGGAGGCGGTGGTGGTGCAGGGTCACCAGCTGGGCCAGGTGGACCTACTGGGCCTGGAGGTCCTAAGGGTCCGGCTTCTCCGACGGGACCAACGGGTCCAACGGGACCTGGTGGACCTTGGTTACCTGATGGGCCTGGTGGACCTGGAAGAGCTGGGGGTGGTGGTGGTGGGAGTGGTGGTGGGGGTGGGGGTGGTGGTGGCGGAGGTGGTGAACAACATGACACTACACAAGATGGCGCACAATAACTAGGACATCCAGGAGGACATGGGTTTGCTTCTCGCATATCTAAAATGAGAAAACAAAATTTCTTTAGTCAATGTTTGATCAAGTTATCACAACAACAAGTAACTATAATTTCTCATCAAAATAGTAATTGTTATGCAAAGAGTGGTTGAATCAGTTTGAAAAACAGTATATATAAAGTGCATGGAACCAATTTTTGTTGCACTCAACAACAAAACATGATGGAAGATTAATATCTTGCGAAAACTGAAAATAGTACACCAAAGATTTATCCGTCAAACAATTAAACATATTGATGAGGTATCGCTCCTAAATAAATAGTTGGAAATAATATATCAGTTTATCGTATATTTCAAACGTGAAATGTTGAAGTCGTTCTTGTAGAATTGTAAAATTTACCGGTTCTTTTTCTTGCTGGTTGGATTGTTTACATCGTTTCATTTTAGAACAAAATGAGTAACAATTATCTTCATTGAAAGATGAACGATTCAGCTTTTTTTTCGAAAATTTAAGATTATCTTCTGAACTAAGCTTTATTAGATTAATTTTTGTTAACCACAATTGTGGGTCAAAGAGTCGAAGCCTTGTAAATGCTTTTCCAATTGTTGAGAACAGCTACCAGTTGAGAAAACAATAAACTGTGCGTAATTAATATTTAATTACATACGAACAGCTAAATTAGTTTTCTTGTATGTACAACACTACTTTCATTGAGATTTAGTATTTTTGTTTTCCCACATTAATTCACAATGTTTCTTTCGTTAAGTATAACTGGTTAAGCTGCCAAATGAGAAACAATATCTGACGGATCAAATTTAGGTAACTTAAAAATATCCTTCACACGCAACTTTTCTAAATTCGACATTATTCCAGCGAAAAAAATTAATATCCCCTTCAATTTAATACCTATTAAGTATCGTTAAGAAACAAGTACTTGGTTATATCTACAAATCGTTCGGTTCTTTGACTTTGTTGTCAAACCGACCATAGTCTGAAAACTCTATGTTTTGATGATCACAGTCGGAAATATCAAATTTAGAGCACGAAAGTCTATTACAAGTACAATTTTGTGTGGTCGTCTTGCTAAAACCACTTTGAATTATATTTTCTTCTGATTTGAAATCATATACAGCTACCAGTTATTTAGCTATTGATTCGAATATCGTTAATATTTAATTTCCAACATTTGATTCTCTCTTTAAAACATATATATAAAGCAAAACTCCTCTTTTATTTTCTGCTCTTTTCTACTATATGATTCTTTTGGTAATAACAAGAAATCCAATTCTAAAGTTTTCCGGATTGGATTAATACTGATCAAAATCAAATTATTTTCTGAAAAACTCAACGAAATGAAAACTGACCCAAATGTGCATGTGACTAAAAATATATCATTTCTAATTCATTCAAGATGTATAACATAATATCACTGTTTTTAAAAACTCGAAATACTCTATTCAGTGCCGTAATATATACTTACATCTATGGGGGTGTGCTGAGGCATATGCCACGAAGGCCAAAAGACATGTCACAATAAGTTTCATCTTTAAAACTATAAAAGAAAAAATTAATCTTAAATTTGGCTTCCTTTATACTTGGTCAAAACAGTTAAAATTAAAATGATTTCACTAGGTTTAAAAATTTACTAAAATATTATAACCGCAACATGAATAAGCAAATAACCTGTAAAAATGAGAAGTAAGCTTTGCAAAAGGTTGTTTAATTTTAGTCAAGAAGCATTAACTTATATCCAAGCAGCAGCAAAGAAATAAGTTAACAACTTAGGAACTCATCTTACAAACAATTTGATAAAAATCGTGTCAGTCACTGTCAAAACTCGATGAATTCAAAATACTTATTATTTGAAACAAACCGCGTTGCAAGCTTCACTATTTCTTTAATTCACCTGTACTTACCCAAATAGTGTTTGCTCGTAAGCTTCTATATAATTGCATAAGAAAAATGATCTAAGTATCAAGCTCTATTTACTTATAGTGTAATCTACATACCTTAGTGAACCTCTTCAGAGTACTACTGATATCTAACAATAAAGGAACTAAGATTTTATACGGTCATGGTGTCAACTGGTGACATAATTCATCTATTGTAACGAATCATTTCGTGCTCTTTTGTACTCCGCTTTACGCTTGGGTTAAAAAACCATTGTACCGGTTAAAATGAAAAAGGATGTTATTTCCATGTTTCACGAAATTCGGGCAAACCGAAATAATGTTTTAGCAAATTAGTTTCGCCTGAATATTAGAAAGTAAAAGATTTATTATTTCAAAACTTAGAGATGAGAAGAAGAATTATTATCTTATCATGAATTTGACAAAGAATAAAGTGGCCACCCGTGTGGTATCCATTGTGATAGCCTGGTTTATTATTGTTGGTACCTGGAACGCTGTTTAAACTCGAATATTTTCGTAGCTGTTCAAAGACCTTATTTTCATAAAAAAATATTAGACAAAAAATAAATATAATATAAAAATGTTTCACTGTAATACTCAGGAAAACATGTATAGGAGTGTTTTATTTCACGATAGTATATTAGCCTATAATTAAGACCTGCAAAATTATAATGAATGCCCTTTGTTTTCAAATGTGTTCTGTTTACAAAATAAACCTCGAAGATGAAGCGGATTCTAACTTATAAAATCAAAACAATATTTATTTTGCCATTAGAAAGGATAAATAGCTCGAACTTGACATTTCACTAAAGCGCATTTTTCGAAAATGCCTTAAATAGATGAACGAGACTAACGCCGTAAGCTACCTTGTAGTCTTCTTACTGATACAAAAGATCGCATGATCATAATGCTATATAGTATTAGATTTTCTATTCGATGAACCATCATTATCTGTTAATGAGATATTATAAGACTCTATATATATATATCAGTTGCTGTTCTATGTGCAAATAGAGTGTACGTTTTTCGACTATATTTGTATAGTCACATCTTCCTTTGTTTAAAAACTTGATACTCTTATTAAAATATATATAGGTGTAATTAAATTCTGCAAGATAACCGTTAATACTGTATATACTGTATATGTCGCAGGGATATTTTTGTATAGAATTAATTGAGCCATGCAGTTACACCATGGGGTTGAATTCAGTGCTGTATATATTACAAGATGTAGTTTTGATTTGTTGCATGGGTAAAGAATCGTTTAAGCTGAACGTGTAACTAGACTAATCACAGTCTTTGTTATTTTTTATTTTGCGATAAGGATTTAGTTTGTCACCGTTGGAAGCATGTCAGACCCTGTCTCGCTACTATTTTCTTGATTCTATTTTGAATTACTGTTTTCATATATAAATTAGCTTCTCTTATTCACTGTGTGTATATGCGCTTATACTCGCTTCCGGTGGCATGAGTGTTCAATTATATAAGTTAAATTACTGCATAAAGAAACTAAACTGAATTATATATAGTGCCATGATTTTGGAATTGCAAATCGATCTTCTGCATTATCACGTAAAAATCTCACCTCTAATTGTGTGGCAGTTATTGGCTTTATACGCTTCCTACATGCTTGTTGCTATTTTTAAACTGTAGCTAGTTTGTTACCACATCAAGTTTGTTTGTTTCATTACAAACATTATCTTCACGAAATTGCTGAATAAGCTTGAATTGTTTGTGCCATTTCACTCCTCGTCACCAGGCCCTGACTCTCATGTACATTTTCAATCTGGCATTTTCAATCTGGCGATATCTATTTAGTGTATGCGAAGTTGCGAACACCAGTACGCCGCTGTCCAGCCGCTAAATACAGCGGACTGTTTAACAGTCAGAAACAGCTGAAACGCAAGATAGATATAGAGAGCAAGACGTAAATTTAAATGGGTATATTTCGATCCTATTACAGAATCATCGTTATATTCTGATTCTGTGAAAGGACCGAAATTTACCATTTAGATTTACTGTTGCAGCCAACTCTACATATATATATATATCTGGAGTGAGAACTCGAGTCCAGAAAGTGAAGCCAGCTTCGTGTTAACCGCGCAGACAAAAACTTTAGAAAGGGACTGGAACTGAAGTCCAATAGCTCCTTCAATTTCCGCCATTTTGGCAAGGAGTGTGCCGAAATTTCATATTTTCACATCGATTTATATAAGGAATAGCACTATGGTTTTATGAACTGAAACCTTGCTTAGCGATGCGGTCCGTTAGAAAAAACTGGAATTAGCTCCATTAGAATAAATTCCACGCAATTTCGAGTTTCTCCCAAACTTTCACAAGTGTTTCTATAAACTCTATAGGAACACGGAAAAAATGTTTTCTCTTTCCTTTATTAAATAGCCTTTCAAAAACAATAGAAAAGATAAATTTATTGATTTTAATTGCTTTCATTCAAATATTAATTCCACCTTAATATACGTCCGTGTAAAGAATAATTATAAAAGCATAGCGAAGTGAACAAGTATGTATCGATGTCAAAACAACAGACAGCACTTAACAGGATTACTTTACTAAGTAGTAAGTATATAATTCACTCAACGTACATGCTTGCATGCAAAGAAAGCACTGTTTTAAATAGTTAGTGAACGTTTAAACATGATTAAAAACTATAGTAAACATGATTAAAAATGTCGCGAGGAAATATTTTTTTAAAAAGACAACGGTGAAAGTAAAATTAAAATATCTTACCTTTGTAAACAGTCAAACAGATACAACGTGTGCTATAATTATACTTTGTGCTTTAGGTCTTCGCTTTCTAAGTTAGCACTTTCTAAAGCGTTTCGGGACGTTTTTCAATTTTTTTCAAAATTAAATATTGTTTGTATTTTGTCTTTTAAACTCCCGCGCAATCCACGCAACCCGCGTGAAAATTCCCCGTGTTTCTATCGAGTTATAGAAACACGGGTTTTTTGAGCTTTTGACCAATCCGCGCCAGTGTTTTTAAAAGGCTATTTTATAATAATCGTTACATGCTATTGTAATATTATGTCAAATATATGGACCGGCTTTTGCTTTAATTTACTTGAACCAGAATAGCGAGCGAAAGCATGTCTGGAGTAAGTATGGGGTTATCATCCGAAGGGGTCTGGGGGATGGTCTCACAAGCAATTCGTCTTTGCTTTGTCAAAGCCTCAGAGCTAGGAGCGTTTTCTGTTTTGATCAAAGTTGTAAAGTTTTTGCATTTAAAAATTCGAGATTTTGTTGACGTAAAATGCTCAGTGCTTCTTTTCTTAAAGTACATTCAATATTTGTTCTCAGTAAGTTACTTAATTAAATCATGCCGTGTTAATATACCATGGCGCGGATAAATAGGGCTTGCAATTCAATATTTTGGGCTCAGGTTTTCGACTTTACCTTGTAACTAGGACTGATTCAATATGGCGGCCACCAGTGGCTACGAATAATTAAAGTTAGATATTTCGTGTTTTATAAAAAGATCAACCCTAATCCTGACCCTAGAAAGTCAAACTTATTAGGAAAAAAGACCTTTTTCACGAAAATACGGGAAGAACCCACGACGTATGAGTTCGTCGTCGCCGAACACTGTTGCCACTATATAGATCATTTGGGGAAGTCGCTGAGAGATTTTGGGGGTTCTTGTAAGAAATATTAGTACAAAATTATTATAACGAATGCCCATATTACCCAGGATTCAAGTGAAGTGACGTGCATATTACTATTAACCACAAAAATCGAAATGACGTACAACAGCTTACTGATTCTTTATGCACTCCTGTCAACATATCCATCAACTAGGCAAGATTTGGAAAAGCTGTAAATGGAAGCGTATATTCACTGAGCCGCCTATATCTGCGATTTGTATGAATATTTTGTTTCCACCAAGTCTGAGCTAGGCGACTACATGTACAAATAAATGGGGAGAAACACAAAAAATCATTTTAGAATTTTAAAGTTACGAAATTTAGCATTTTCTCAGTATTTTAGAAAAAATGTTCATGCCTCTAAATTGTCACGGGTGTCTAACAATTCAAATGCGGAAATTCAATAGGCACATACACAGTTTACTAGGTATAACTACGCTAGCGCCGATATCCTTCTACTTCTTTCTCGAATATTTTTACTATTGGGCAGTGATTAAAATGTCTATTCTTAAATGTGGTGAATAGTCACATTCGAGTATTTCTAGAAATGGTTTATTACCACCTTAATTACAAGCAAATTTGGCTGTTATTTTAAACATTTTGGATTAGACACTGCCCTTACATTAGACACTGACTCAAGTCTATCAATTTTTAAGAAATGTTTCAGGAAACTGACAAGCACTTAATCGGTTCCCTCAAACATTCGTTATAAATCCTTCAAAACTTAGAATTTAGCTGTGCAAAATTCCTACTGTGATCACAGAAAATTTGAAAGTGTAAACGAGGTTTTAGGACTCTAGTTCTACTAATCAATATAAGAACAACAATGAAGTTAGTCTTGTATTTTCTATGACCTCCTAAATATTCAATATGATATTTGACTATACAAATATTGTTTACATTATCACAGTCTGTATTTAACCAAATGATGGTAAGCCTGGATCACCAGGAGGACCAGGTGGTCCTGGTGCACCCATTGGACCTCGATCTCCAGGTGCGCCACGCATTCCAGATAATCCTGGAGGTCCAGGTGGTCCATCATGTCCTGCCATACCAGGTGGACCTGGCGGTGGTGGTGGTGGAGGTGGTGGTGGAGGGGGTGGGGGTGGTGGCGGTGGTGGTGGTCTTAAGCAACACGTTGTTGAACAAGATGGTGCGCACGAAGGTGAACATCCATAACCACAAGGGTTGGCTTCCCTCTTGTAATCTTCAAATATTGAATAAGATAAATTTCAAACAATGACGTTATGGTGATTTTTATATACACGCAAAAATCTCACATCTTGTACACGTCTACCAGCAAGTCGTCAACAAGTTGTGTTTGCACTGCTTGTCCCAAGTCGTCAACAAGTTTGGAACAAAGCTGTTAACAACTTGCAACAGCCTTGAGACTTGTTGCAAACTTGTTCCAATAAGTCCTATCCAGTCATGATATAACAATATTGTTACAACCTTGTGTCGTCAACCTTGTAATATTCTTGTTATATCATGACTGTGTCAAACGTGTTAGAACAACCTTGTATCAAGTCTGATAATGCCACTAAGCTTGTTACTAACACTTATTCCAAAGGTCTGAGGGGTATACAAGATTTACCTCTCGAAGCCTGGAACCAGAATTCGTATCCCCCGAAGCGCTGAGGGGGATACGAATTCTGGCTCCAGGCTGAGAGGGGTAAATCTTGTATACCCCGACAGACCTTTAGAACAAGGATCATCTATCATCTCACAGTAACAGAACCAAAACTTCACCAACAAGTCGTCCAGCTTCTCGTCACTGAAAATAATCCATTCTTCGTAGTTTTCTATGTGGCAATCCTTCAAATACACCTCAAACTTTCTTTTTCTATTGTTCTTACTTTTTATGGATTTACATGTTGTGTCAAAGTAATGATTGTATTGCTGAGGAACATATCTTGTTTATTCTTCGAGAATTTGTTTCAAACTTTCTTCGGCTTTTATTGAATAATCGTAAGGGGACTTATGAAAATTTTGAGATCTTCGTTTTTATTGGCTCAAGAGGTTAGTGTAGGTGATCGATACATCACGTTTTTATTCTGAAAAATGCACCCCCAACTTCCAGTGGACCGATAAAATTTGGTAGTTGGATGAATACTAGTTTATTTGATGTCTTAGAATGTTACCAACGTCATTATTTATTAATAAAAACACAGATGCGATGGAGAATTGCTCCTCGACGCAGAATATGCGACAGGGATATGTTCTTGAACAGACATCGCATTCTTTTTGTCATTTTCAGGTATCAACTTTTTTGCATGCAAATCTAAAATTTGAAAATTATACGTCATACTTACATCTGGCTTCTGCAACCACTATGATAGTGGCCACGAGTAAAATGAGGACTTTAGAATCCATGAGTAAACTGTGAAAAAGAAACAATGCTGTTCCACATATAATATTTTTTAATTAATTGTCGAGTTAAATTGATCAAAATATTGTTGTGTTTCGCAAAACTGTATATTACGAAAATCACTGAACTGTCAACATCGCTGCTAGGAATTTCAAACGGGAAAAGACGTTTGATAAATCCAAATTCAATTTTTGTTCAATTCATGTTTTTAATTGTTATCAATTTATTTTTGTACTGTATGTGGGTTTCCAATTTTATTATCCAATCAGGTGCGTAGTTTTGAATTAAACGTCAGAAATTCGTTACTCAACAGTCAATTTATTCAAACGTAAACAAGGTCACAAACATCCGAACGAAGGTCAATGAAACCGAATATATGAAATATTTGTTTAGTGCCTATGACACGAAATATCACCCCAAAGGTTTATGGTTGCATTGTAAAGATCACTTAAAATGACTTAATAATTTCTTTTATAGAATTTTGGCAACTTGCTCCCTTTTCAAGATATTCAACTTTGTTTCATATGCAAATATTACCGGTGTGACATCACATCACATAATGAGTTTTCAGAAAAGTATAGTTTTCTTGGCGAATACGTATCTAAAAAAACTTTAAAATTGCCCTTGTATATGTATTAATTTCATAACTGGTAATTAACCCTCTGTATTTGTTGGTAAACATATTTTATCAAGGTAAAATATTGCGATTTCAAAATGTCATTATGCGATGTGATGTCACACCGGTGATATTTGCATATGAAACAAAGTTGAATATCTTGCAAAGGAAGCAAGTTACTAAAATTCTATAAAAGAAATTATTAAGCCATTTTAAGTGTTCTTTACAATGCAATCATAAACATTTGGGGTGAAATTTCGTGTCATAGGCACTTTAACGTTTCATGATCATTTTAGAGCTCCATAATCGTAATATACAACATATCTATCTTATGATCTCCCTTTTATTAGCGACAATATGATCTCAATCTTGTAATAAACTGACCGCTTTTACGCGGGGCGAGATTGCTTGAAAAAAACAAGTTGACTGGGAATAATTAGCACTGTCAAGTCGTGAAGTCATGTGACCAAAATAATGACACAATTTGATCACATGATTGAACGAAAATTGAATTTGGATTTATCAAACGCCTTTTCCCATTTGAAATTCTTAGCGGGGATGTTGACAGTTTAGTGATTTTCGTAATAAGTTTTTTCCAAACTATGCAATATATATAGGATAAACACCGAGATGGAGGGATTTATGTCAGATAATGTCCCGACGACGCGCAGCGTCCGAGGGCATTATCTGACATAAATTCCGACTTTCAAGGTGTTTATTATATTTAATTCTTGATTGATGAGGTTTTCCAACAAAGTTTTGTCTGTTTCGTCTGCTTTGAACGGCGATTTTCTGAGTTGTCCTTCATCTTTTCAGTTAATTAATATTCAAGAAAACCGACTCAATCAAGAATGAAATGTCAGATAATGCCCTCGGACGCTGCGCGTCGTCGGGTCATTATCTGACGTAAATTCCTCCTTCTCGGTATTTATTCTACACATATGTAGTGACGTCACACCGAGCTTCGAACCCAGTGAAATGACTATAACTGGAACGCTAACTTTATAGATAAAACTACCTATCTTTTTCTTCAAGCCAAATCAGATCAAATCTGTGTCTTGGGATCATGACCCGCGTGTTTATGCTTCGCGATTCTCTTGCGAGACCGGTTCAGGGAGCGAGCATGCCGTTTTAATAAGAAAAAAACAACTAAAAGTAAAGTCTATGGGAAGTTTTACCTGAATAAATGAATAATAGAAAGTTTTCGCGCTGATAAAAGGTTTTTTGTAAATTTTTAGCCGAGTTTCAAGAATGCACATTCGTGTTGACAGATTGCCCGTGCTCTTCGCATGCGTGAAAAACTGAGCGGTTTGGCTTCAAATTTCCAGTTGGAGGTAGCATACCAGTTATATTCATTTCACGAGCTCACCGAAGATTTTATCCCTGAATTTCTCTGTGCTTTAAAGGCCTTCACTTGACAAAATTTCAGAGAGTTTATGGGATATAGAAAATGAAAATTTTGGACGCTGTTTTACTGAGTGGGTATAATCATCTCTGCAAGGACGTAAAAAATCAAATGTTATTCAAATTTATGCAACTGTAATTGACATTAGTTTTACCAATTATATGGCAAAATTAAGTTTAACTAGGGCATCATAAACACAAAAATCTGCTTGAGTGTAAGAGAATAGTTTCCATTCCAAAATAAAATCCTATTTTCTTCTTTTTCAATTTTATACCATGATTATTTGCTATTCCTTTTGAACGATATATATTTTAGCATAGGAGATTAGGTACACTCCATATGAAAAGACAGTTAACTTATAGCTATTTTTCAGCAAAACAGTTACAGCGAGAAATTGGGATTAATTGGTCCATTTTTCTTCGCGTCTGCGTTTGTGCATCCATGTAAATGCTTTGTGGAGATGCAATTGTGAGACTTAAACTAAAACTTTATCGTTCAATACAATTCGCATAATATATCAGCCAATAATCGCGGTTATTTTTGGGATAAAGGAAATATGAAACAAACTATTCGGTTATTCGGTTGAATGCTTCGTCGCCTTTTCAATCAAAGCGGAACAAATGACTGAGAAGTGGCAAAGTTTCGCAGCAGGAACTTCTTTTCGGGTTATATAATTAAGGTGTCGTTACTGATACTGTAGTGTTAGATAATGCTTCTCGCAAGTAATATACAAAGAAAAATTCTTACCTTTTACTCAAAGTACAGCTTTCTAACCTTTTTACACTTGAATTATCTAGTTTATCAAGTTATTGAACCTAACCTGTTTTCATAAACACATAGTGAAATCATTGCGCTTCATTAAGTTCAGGCTGAATATCGTGCGCTGTGATTGGTTAATTTAGCAATATGTCTAAAGTAAGATCATGCAAATAGATATGATAAGCAGGTGAATAGCGCCGCTTGATCAGACATGTCTATATCCCTTTTCATCGTTCAGAGTAGTTCCGTCGTGCCACCGGCGACCGGCGGTACTTTCCGAATCAGCAAAAATTCCGGCATGGCCAAACTAATATTAGAATTGCAGGATTATGCGAACTGTTTCCAAAATGTAAAATACATAATTATGTTTAATGAATGTACTGTAAGTGTTCAGTGGACTTAGAAACTGACCAGAGTAATAAAAACAATGATGAATTGAAATTATAGGGGTAGAACACTACCTCTTACACAAACAACAAGGCTGATTATAATAAAATCTGCTGCTGCACTGTGCTCTGACTTTATTCCTCAATTACCTTTTGCATTTTGATGAGTTTTATTATTTTAAAAATACCTATCTCCACTATGATCCTTTTGAAGTCTCCTTTCCCAGGCATTTAGATCTGCGCTTGTTTTAATTGTACATGTCTTCATAGCGCAGCTAAGATCTTCCTGTCGTTTGCCACACTAATACCCAATATAAGAGGCGTTTCGGATCCCAACCAGCATTGCTGCGAACTACATGGCCAAGCCGATTGGTGTGTACAGCCATTTAATATGTTAATGTTTAAGATGTGTCGTGGAAGGGTCTGAGTTTTATCTGTTCTAGTAGTGAAAGTGTTCAAGACTGCTGTACAGGAAGGTGCTCAAAACCCACGCTTTGTATACCTGAAACTTGGTCATCGAACTGCGCAAGTCTATTTTGAAAACAATTCCAAGCTTTGTACTTTACTTTTTCAAACAGCTAGAAAAGTTTCGTTATGAACTCTACGTGCAATTACAAAATATCTTTATTCTTCATAAATGTTTCTGCTAATGTTGTCAATCTCGTGAATGTTTCAGAGTTCAAGCTTTTTCGACGAAAGCGTTAGCCATCGCTTTAACAAGTAAATTATCCGTTTGTTCAGTCATAGTTTACCATTATATTGTACGTACAGTATCATCCATATTGTTGCCTTCGCATTCCAAAATTGTATATCTTGAACAAGAGAAAATGTACCACTTCCGCCAGAAAGTATTCTCACTTTAATTACAACCTTCTCGCAACGTTGTGATTACGCCCTGTGCCAGCTGGGTGCGATATATACTATTTAAAACACGAGTAGGAGTGTTTTATCAGATATAAAACGCGAGGCGCAGCCGAGCGTTTTATATCTGATAAAACGCGACAACGAGTGTTTTGAATAGCTTAAAATACTTCTACCAAAGAATACTAATTAGGATGAACCATTATATAATCATGCTAATTAAGATGAACAATTATATAATGCCACATGTGTTTTATCAGATATAAAATCACTCCACGTGACATATTATGGCTGACATGATTTGCCACAAGGTTTATGAATTATTAATGAGTATTTTAAAACAGTTTAGACTGTATTCACGAGATTGACAACATTAGCAGGCACATTTATGAAGAATAAAGATATTTAATTAATTTTTATTCCTAGTATTGTAATTGCACGTAGAGTTCATAACGAAACCTTTCTAGCTGTTTGAAAAAGTAAAGTAGAAAGCTTGGTTTGCTTTTGTGCGCGGCGGTTTGAATCTATCTAGATTGCGCACAGTAATATGTGTTTAATTTAAATTGATTCCAAGGATATCTCGACACCCTCATGCCTTAAAAATCACTTTTATTTGCTCGTGATTGCCATGGTCAAATGCAACAAGGCTCAAATGTTTTCCAATTTCCATAACACCACAGTAGAATATTTTTTGTGTGTGTCTTGATGTTATGTACTCAGGTGAATAATTATGTTTTTTATGTTACTCTGAGTGTATATCCACACCGAGCAGTACTAGTCCAATGCTCTGCCAAGCCTACCATTGCTCGTTGATGATAATCTTTAGCCTGGTCCAGGTCACATTAATCACGACACACCACACCAGTGTTGTTATAAGAAGCTGCAACATCAACATGGTTTCGACCCAATTGTTTTTGTCTAATTTGCAGTGCTCGTTGATGATAATCTTTAGCCTGGTCCAGGTCACCTTTATCACGACACACCACACCAATGTTGTTATAAGAACCTGCTAATATTTGCTTATATAATATAAGTTAATATACTGACAAAACAAACGTCGTCATCTTCCCTTGCGCGAGTGCCTTGGCTAAAATGAGCCTATTAAACATTTTTCCTGTCTCGTAGGCGTTAAGGTGGCTTAATACAGCTTTTTAAAAAGTGGAAAATTCACGATCCGTATTTTTGGACAATAATTATTACTAGTTGGAAATCAAAAAAGTATCTTACTGATGTAAAACAGCATGTCGTTGCTAAGGCAACAATGACGTTTCAAGATGGCGGATATTTTGACTTTAACCCCCATATTTTATTTCAGAAAATTATTTCTCTTACGCCCGTATTCTAAACGCCCGTATTCTCACTCACATTCAATGGGTCGAGGATCAATCTGAGCTTCCCTTGGGTGTCAATGCACTGGAGGGCTAGTGCCACCCTTTACTCGGCGACTACTCACCCTACAACTATTCAAAAACAGAATTGACACTCAAGAGTAGCTCAGATTGAACCTCCACTCATTGAGTGTGAGTCTGAGTGAGCTTTTAGAATACGGGCGTTAGTATACACAATTATTTTGACAATTTTAAAAATAATTGTGTCGAGGCAAAGAAAATTATCATGAATAATTTACGTAATTTCATAAATTTTTGACTCAACAGATTTTTTTTAAATTGTCAAAATAATTGAGTATACTACCGACATCATCGATGTCGTTTACGAGTTAAATTACCTTAAAGCCAAAATATCCGCCATATTGAAACGTCATTGTTGCCACAGCAAAGGCAGTTGCGTAACTTCTGAGAAATAATTTAAACCCTTTGTATATCATTTTACATCAGTAAGATACTTTTTGTTTTCCATCAAGTAATAATTTTCCAAAAATACGGACTTAAATTGTGAATTTTCAATTTATTAAAAGCTGTACCAAGCACTTAGCTTAATTAAATAAGTCATTAAATCAAAAAAATCAAATAACAGCGCAGACGCTGTTTCGAGATATTTATTAGTAGTGTAGACATTTACATAAACTTGTAATAAAAACCGTGCTGAGTTATCACATATGCTTTGACGTACCATTGTTAAATATTCAGATAACTCGTTCTTGTAATTACACATAACTGCCGCAAATGAACGTCGCTTCCATGTTTCATTTTTTTCCACAGCAAGAGATGGCAGGAGGTGGAGGTGGTAAGGGAGGGGGGCATGGTGTTGATGGCAGACATACGGGTTGAGGTGGGGCTGGACACGAACAGGGGGTTTGTGGAATAGGACAGCATGCTGGGTTAGGAGGTGGTGGTGGGGGTAGGGGGCATGCATGACATACAGGCAGTGGGGCAGGACATGGGCAAGGCGGTTGTTGTGGTGGACAACATGGCAATGGACAGATTTTCATACAGTGGTGGATACAAACAGGTGCACACGGTGCGGGTGGTGCCGGCAATCCAGGACACCCTGGATCACCAGGAGGACCCATACAGCCTGGCGAACCAGGTGGGCCAAGTGGGCCCAAACATCCAGGTTCACCGGGACAACCGGGGGGTCCTGGTAAACCAGGTGGCCCTGCACAACACCTGGGGGTACAGGAAGGTGCACAGGATTGTGGGCATGGGTCAGGGCACATTGGAACTGGAGGAGCTATAGGTAAGGGGGTACAGCAATCTGGAGTGCACGTCGGAGAACATGAAGATGGACATCCTTCACCACAATAGCTTCGCTTTTCTCCTTAAAACATTAAAAAAATCCTTTCAATGAAATTGTTTTATTATGTGATCTACTTCACTATAATATTTAATTCAGTCTATGATATCCTATTACATTCTAACGGATTACATGAAAGTGCATTACGGGAAACACAGACCCACACTGAGTATATTGATATTGAGTTTGGCCACGGGAATGAAGATGTGATCACGACAATATAATTTTACAGCACTGTAAAACGGCGGTTATAAACTGTATTTCTTTAAGCATTCCAGTACGCGGTATAGTTGTCCAAACTGCTACGTTATTTACACCATTTTTACGGCTCATGACCACACCCATAGGCGTCGAAAGATCGATAAGTGGGGGGGGGGACGATATTCATATATTCGTGTTCACAGACCTTAAAAACAATAGATTTCAAAAGAAATTAACAATGCAGAACACGAATATATGAATATGGTCCCCCCACTTATCGATCTTTCGACACCTATGAACACACCAACAGTAAAAACGTTCGAACAGTCGTGTTGGGTGGTTTGTGTGAATGGACCATTTGCATTATAGACTAAATTTTGATGTGGACAAAAATTTCATCACAGCGTGAAAGAGCATCACAAAATTAGTAATATTCCAAACTTTCGTTGCGAATTGTTGTAAAATGCGGATAATATAGCCATACGAAGTTTGCCGTTTTTCAGTCATTTTGTATTACGCACGGGAAATTGACAGCCCAATCGGGTGTTGGGGCATCAATTTCCCGTTTGTAATACAAATTAAAATGACTGAAAATTGCAAATTTCGTAAGGCTATATTATCCGCATTTTACAACATTTCGCAACGAAACTTTGGAATATTACTAATTTTGTGATGCTCTTTCAAGCTGTGATGAAATTTTTGTCTACATCAAAATTTAGTCTATAATGCAAATGGTCCATTCACTGACTATTGCTAGTTAAGGGTTGTTTGTATAAAAAGCGAGCAATTAGAATTTTATGTAAACTTACTGCAAAAGCGAGCAATTAGAATTTTAAATAAATGTAAATTTGATGCACAGACAGATCCTTTATTCAAGAAATGTTCCATCCTAAAATTTCTTGATATTTTCTTCTTACAAGTGGGCAAATTTATGTACTCTTGCCGTAATGGTCTATTGCCGGAAAATTTTCATCATATGTTTCAACAAAATAATCAAACTCATTATTATAATACCCGGAATGCAAGGGCATTTAGAATGCCGTTGGTAAGAACGAACATTCGTCAATTTGCAATAAGGTTGCAAGGACCAAAATGTTTTAATTCGTTGCCCACTGATCTAACTGATACAACTTCCTTTACCTCTTTTAAAAAAAGATTGAAAAATTATCTCTTAACAAATTTGTAGATAGTCCCTTAAAAGACAATCATGTGTGGAAGTATTAATATTGACTTTAACTTATAATGTGTAAAACAGTGTTTTTGATATGAATAGTGTGGAAGTATTATTTTTTATTTTAATTTATGGTGTATGAAATTGGTGTTATTTGTTATGTAAGGTGTATCCTTCGTCCATCATGCATGTTTTCCATTTTTCTTGAATGTTAGTAATATTACCCCGAAACATGATGGGAGCTTAAATTTATATAAGCCTTAAGGTTTCTTTTTAAGGTTTCTTCTCATGAACTCCTCGGCCTTCTTAAAAATAATGACCTCGCGCTTCGCGCTCGGTCATTATTTTTAAGAAGGCCTCGGAGCTCATGCATTATCCTATATTTCAAACTCATTAATAATTCATAAACCAATTGGCAAATCATGTCAACCATAATATATCACGTGCAGTGGCTTTAAACCTGATAAAACACTCCTAATTAGTATTCTTTATATAAAGAATACTAAGAAGGCAGTATCTATTGTAGTCGTGTCCTCATTAGTATTTTTTATATAAAGAATACTAATAAAGCAGTAAATCGCAGGTCGTGTTCGTGTCCTCATTAGTATTTTTTATATAAAGAATACTAATAAAGCAGTAAACTCGCAGGTCGTGTTTTATTAGGTCTAAAGCCACTCGCGTTGCGCGCTCGTGGCTTTAAACCTAATAAAACACTCCTGCTCGTTTATTAAACAGTACGTAATTAACACTGTAGTGCCTAGTGGTGAAATAAATTATTATTATTGTTTGATCGGGGCACGAAGAAAAACTCTCGCACAAGCTTTCACTTGCCACCTTGTAATACTCTCATCGTCGTATAGGGGCGGCGCTAGAGGGATGGTGGGTTCTCACATTGTTTTCCCAGTCCTGGCAACATGAATTGGATATGGTGTAACGAAAGTCAAATATTTGAGTAAAACTTCTGAAAAGTCTAAATTCTACCTAGGAATTGAGAGAATTAAACTTCACAGTGAGTCATCCTGGCTGTAAGAAAAATCATATTACATGAAATTTTCGCCCTGTCCTAAACTGTACGAATGTATATCTTCAGCAGATACTAAAGCATATCGCATCAAATATGTTGAAGTGTTCCTGACTTAATGAACTGGCTATATGACGGTTTTGCACAGCCGAGAAACTGGCAAATTTACGACTTGTGTGAATCGAGGAAATAATTCTTTTTATTAGAGAGTTTAAGTTCGACTACCAATACCGATATCAATGTCTTCACTTCCGTTCTCATTTCGGTGCCAGGAATTTCAAAGCGTTAAGTTATCACGACAGATTAAGTATAGAACGCATTAATCGTCACCGAAAATGTGCGGTATACTAAACGGCAGCTGAGTCGAACGTTCAACTAAAACATGACTCAGGCGATGCTAATAAACAAATAGTTTACGTGTTTATCGAAAAAATTATGAAATATCCGATTTATATGAGTTTATCTTACAATTCCCACGACTTCCAAAACAAGGCCGAGTGAGCGCATGTGCCAATAGTGGTGAGCGCATGTGCATGACCTGTTGTTAGTATCGGTATTGCTATCGAAAGTCGAACTTAAACTCTCTATTATGAAGACAACTACGGGATACAGTATTTAACCATTATTGAATGATAATGTTTGTGTTATCAACCGAAACCGAATCAAGTCTTCAATTTCCTCTTGAAGATACTTATCAACCGAAGCCGAAGGCTAAGCTGCTTTTCTTTTCCCGTGTGAAAATAGCCGAGCGGAATTATTATCCTTGCCGCCGGCATACTCCCGAAACTGCGCTTCGCGCCGTTGGCTCGGGATAATAAAAAGCAGGAATCGAGGAAGATTTGTAACCCGTCCGTGCATGACGGGGCAAAATATTTGCACACTCGTCTTTTTGCCATGCTACATGAAAGAGATATTAGCACTATACACATGTACAATGATTTTAAGATAAACAAACCTGTTTTAGACCACACCAGTGGCAGTAAAAGTATCAAAGGTAGAACGACTCTCATCCTGTTACAAAAATATCAATTCTTTAGTGTTTCCAATGGATGTATTGATCATACGACTATCGTTTTAACTTTGAAAGGTATGTGCCGACCAAGGGCTTTCGCTCGAAACGTCGAAGTTTTTCTTGTATTTTTCAGGAAGTTGCATCCCTATCAATCCGAAGCTTTCTAATCACTTTAATTTAGCTATTCTTTCGTATTAAACATCAAAGAACTTTATCTAATGTAATCACCTGCGCAGCAGTGCCGCCAGTGGTCTTTAGAACGTGTAGTTCATATGAACTCGCCACATAGGGGAAATTAACTCCTGATTTAGTAATTGGAACGAGTTATTTCTATTCATGCTTATGTACGTAACTTATTATTATTCAGCCTAATAGCCGGCACAAAATGCATGTGTGTCAAGTAGCTACAATATGGATTGTAATAGAATATTAGACTATTTAACAGTGTCGATCTGTGAAGGTTCGCCATTTCAAACAAAGCAGAGTCAAATTCTTGACGAATCTCCATCCAGTTATATAGGTTAGGTGAGATTAATAACCTGTCGATACGTGCCCATCTTGCCGGAGAAACTCATCTAGCACAGTAAATGGAATGAATTATTGCGGTCTGTGTTCATATATTACTGTTTTCATCTTATCTAATATCCCACCTTCGTGCGACAAACCAGGTAAAACGTTTGGTTGTGAATGAACACACGTTGTATTAACAGGTTAACAATGTTTGTCTAGGTCTATTATTATTTCATTTTCCAACTATACAACGCTCATCCCGGTTAGGTGGGATGAATGGAAAATTTTATCTCATTTGACTGAAAACTAACCGAGCTGGCTCGTTACCACATATGAACACAAGATGCACTGATTGTTTGCATTGGCAATGACATGTGGATCTCACACAAGCGAGCTCCCCGGTTAGAAGGGCTTATATGATAATAATAATAATAATAATAATAATAATAACATGCCCTAAGGGTTCATATGGAAAATGTTCCCCACTGGACAGTACGAAGTGGGATATCGTCTCATATACAATGATTGTTATGTGGATCATCAAGGATTTGCGGATCACACTGCGTGGCTTATTTAAACGGATCTAAGGACAGATTATAATCAATTCTGGCGTCACGTATGGTCGATCCAATACAGTTGTACACAGATGAACTGTTTGAAAGGCATTCCATACAAACACAAGTAAATGACTGTGAAATTTTTGTAATAGGTGAATTGACTTCTGGCGTCAATTTGAAACTGCCATTTTTTATACATTAAACAATTCAAGAGATTTTAAAAATTAACCCGAACTGAAGAATGGGTATATAGTTGATTTGGTACAAAACAAAAGCGAACACAATCACTGACCTTTGGTATTTCTTATTTAACTCTGTACTTTCACGGTTTTAGCTGTTATTTTTCTCTTGTCGCTAACAACGTGTTGTTCCTAATTTCAGAACAATCCGCCAACCTGTTTTTGTGTCTTGGTTTTAGATATCAAATTTGCGGGTTTGATGCTAATTATTTCGCAGTGTTAATACATGATCTTCATAATTTTGTAGTCAAATGGATTTCTATGTGTGAACTGCCTTCAACAACGTTGCAGAATTATATATTATTGCGACAAAATGAAAATCTTGCTCAG